CTGGGTTACGTTATCGGCGATGTTGACGGAGTCGAGACCTTCCCATGTCGCGTTGACGGAGAAAGCTTTCGCGCGCACTGGTCTCTGTCTTACAGCAGAGAAGCTCCGAAGCATCACATTGGTTTGTGCGACCGCGTGACGCTTCGGGGAGAAAGCGAAGGGATAAGGAAATGAGAGCGAAGGAGAAGGCGAGAGAGAGGAATAAACCGCCATAGCTAATGGCCGTTGCGAGGGTTTTTGCGGGGTTTAAATATGTAGTCCAATCAAGGATAAAATATGGACATCAAGAGTTCAATTTTAGTAGTACCTATGGTTAAAAAGTCCAAGGTCGACATGTAGTTTCAACTCGAGGGAGTAAGGAGCGTGAGAACTATTTCCGATGAACATGTCCATTTAATCTGCCACGGGTAAGAAATTCGATGAGGGAGAAGGCTTCCTTGTCTCCACCTGCCCTGTGAACATGTCCATTTAATCTGCCCCGAGTTAGAAATCTGATAATGGAGAAGGCTTCATTGTCCCCACCTGCCCTGTGAACATGTCCATTTAATCAACCTTGGTAAGAAAGTTGGTAGTAGTGAACATATTGGTTGAGGGAAAATCGATTGTGTTGGAAAAGGTGAAGTCGTATGTACATAGTATGGCGAAGGGGTGATAAGGGTGGAGTCGAAGAGTAATCAATCGGCTTTGCACATGGCAGCTATGGAGACTGCTCCTGCGGCGTCAAAGCCAACAGTGGTGGTGGGGAAGAATAATAGAGGATTCAAAAGCCATTGAAAAAGAAAGGATCAGGTTGTTAAACCGAAAGAGCTTTTATACCATGAGAATGTTTGTTAATCCACCAAATCTAAATGTTGTGAAAGTTATCTATTTATAATTAAATAAATTAAAAGAATATAGAAAGAATAATAAATGGATATTTGCCTTTAATACCATAATTTAGTACTAAATATCTTAATAGGGTCTATTAGATATGACCATAATTTAGTACTAAATATCTTAATAGGGTCTATTAGATAGGATCCCTTCAAGAAGATGAAGGGGTTGAAGTCACTCACTTGAGCATCGGAAGGGAGATATATGTTACCGAGAAAACTTCATGGCGGCGTATTCGCCATGAGAGTCACTACTTAAGCCATATCTCTTTGAATTCATAAGCTTTCATATAGCTTCTAGTCAATACTAAATTGTTTTAAGCATTGAAGCTACCATCTACAATAGTTCGTATCATTTGTACATAAGAAAGAACAAGATACAAAGTTGTATACCATCCACAATGGCGAACCAGGCTCCTTCTTGCCTTATATTTGATGAAATATTGACCACCTCTGCTATTGCTTCTGTTCTTTAGTTTCGGTAGGAGGCTGTTTCATGTTGGTTTTGGCGTAAGAAATGGGTGTTGTAAGGAGATGGGCTTTGTCCATGTCCTTAATCAATTGCAGAAGCATTGGGATTATGGGAATGGAAAGGGAGGAATTTAGAAGAAGGAGCGCTTGGCTGGTGGCCTTCCGACTGCTCTCATCAAGTTTGATATCTCAATGAGTTTGGCCACTTTTGTTCCCCTCTTCGCCTCTGCTGATGCTCTTCTTTCCTCTGCTTTTCTGTGTGCTTTTGCTACTTCATTCTCCATTTTTTCTAATGCTTTTGCTCTCTTCTCTTCCAATTTTCTCTGCATAAATTCAAACTTTCACTTCAATCCAATCCAATCCATGTTATACACAAAGATGCTGATTTCTTTTCTGTTTTTATACTCACCACGATGGAATGATCTCTGCATAAATTCAGCTTGTTCATGTGTGAAGTTTCAAAATGAATCTAGATTTATATGGAATGATTAACAGAAAGAAGAAATTAGAATTGTTCTTTCTCAGATATTCAAAAGTTCATAGGAAAGTTTGGTTCAAAAGTGATTGAGATTTAAGAAGATTTGACGTGTTTAATGCAAATAAGCATTATAAATCGACTTTTTGACCAAACAGAAGAAGTAATATTCACAAACACGATACGAGGCATTTCTTCAAACAGGTTACATGCACAGAGAAAGCGCCATTTTCAATTTCACGTACCTCGATCTTCTTCATCCATGAAGACGCCTTCTGAACCTGCTCCCTCTCCCATCCACTGATCACCGCATCTTCTCTCTTGAACCGATTGTTAATCTTCGCAATCTTCGCGTTCTGCCATGCACTTATCTTCGTCTCCACTTCCTCCTTCTTCACCATATGCAACGAAATCTCTCTAGTCGCTGCCGTACCGCTGCCGCCGCCTCTCCTGTACTCTTGTCTCGAGATCGCCAACGGCGCTAAGTGATCATCGAACGGATGTCCGTCTGGTACGATCGCTAACGGATTCATCTCCTCCTCTGGCGTATACTCTTCCTCTCTGATTCGGCTCAAGTTATTTGGAGCTTCGTTAATCGGTCGATCATGGCGATAATCATCGCCTATCTCCGCGCCGGCAATAACGAGAGCATTAAACTCTCGACTCATGGAGGTGAAATTCTCACTGGAGCCGCCTTCGCTGGCCATTGAAGTCGATCTCTGACTCGTCGTTTCCCAGGCCTCACCACGGCGGTTCCGATTAGCCGTCACCGGCGGTGGTTGCGGCGAGGTCAGAGCATGAATATCACGGATTTGATCGTCGTCGTTTCCGCCATGGCTGGCTCTGGAAGTTACCGCTGGTGCCTGATCGTTGAACATGGCGGAATTCGAAGAAACGCAGAGTGTTCCTATGAGTAATGGGAAGTTTAGTTGAATTTGTGAGTGAAGAAGAAACGGGAAACACAGAAAAAGCTTTCTTTTTTTTTTTTTAATATAAATTTTGGAAATTCATAATTAAAAAACTGCGAAATTATCAGCCACAAAATGTATACGTGGAAGACATTTCCAATGAATATATATATATTAAATTAAAGATTATATTATAAATTTATAAATATATTGTTGATTAATTAAGTTAAGATTAGGATTGGGATTTTGATGGGACAATTTTTTTATTTAAAAGATTATATTTTTGACATGCGATTGGCCCGACTTTTCCAAATGGCCCCTACTGACCCTAATCCTGAAGGTGAGTGCTAGCCGATGATTAATACCGAAGAAAGCACCTTAGCAATTACCAATAAATGTCCCTATCGATTTGAATCTTGTATTTATTTATTTTACGATCTATTTTTTTAAGCTATTTCTCGTACGTACTCATAGAAGCCAAAATAATAAATGTTAAAACACCGTGTATCGTGCTGCTAGCTTCATAAGCCCTAATCGTTAAAATTAGGTATTATAGGAGAGATTTCAAACTTATTCTTAAACTTTAATTTGTAATATTTTTAATATTTTTGCATTATGTCGTATGAGTTGGCTAGCTACAAATTTTAAATTAAAAAAAAAATCAATAAATATTTACTCGATCCCTATGATTATGACATTTTTGTCTCATAAGTATATAAACTTACAAATCTAAAATGCTGTCCACGTAATTTAAATGCGAACTAATTCAAAAGTATCGACTTTTTTTTCTTTTGGTATATATTTTAATTATGTGAAAGATAAAAAGGGCGTCCTTCAAAATCATTACATTATCATCGTCCCACTCAATAATGAAATTGAATATAAAATAATGATGATTCTATGTAAATATTAATATTATTTAAATATCGGTGTAACATTTTATAATAATCAAAACATACTTCATCTTAGTCATCGAGTCGGGTAAATAAAGACTTCTTCTCTTCCCAACGAAAAAGATAGATGTTATTGAGGTTTTGGGCGAATCGTGTCGGGTCCTTGAAGTGTCATAAAAATTATTTTGTACCTTATAAACTAGGTCAATCCGGCATAACTCCACTGAATTGAACATACACCTCGTCTATGAATTAAAATCTTGTCGCATCCCTTTAATAACATGTATGTCGTATGTTATTGTGTCGGACATACATGTTATAAACTACGATATTAGATTTTTAAATCTTATATGTGAATTAAAAAATAATAATAAATAATGTCATTCGAGAATTGTCAGATATGATTTAATAATTTTGATAAATTTAGTATAAAATAAAAAATATTAAGACCAAGGTATATATATTTTTTTAATAAATAATATATTCGACTAAATCAGATATATTTTTTTCTTAATAATAACAAATCTCCCGATAAAGTGGAGCCCACCAATATTAAGCTAGTGCCAATAAACCATTTATAGCTCACCACGTGTCAAAGAAAAACAACGAAGTTTATAATAAAATACGTGGCAGCTAATGATAGGACATGGACTCCGAAGGAAGGTTCCAAGGGCTGATGTCAGATTACCACTAAGCGCCACGTGTACGGTGTCTTATAATTTTAGCATGGTTCCGTGAAGCATACGGTACACGTGGCTTGGACTTTATAATAAAATATTATCAATATATAAATATATATTTTTTTGGGGAGATAAAAAGTAAACGGGAAGACGACAAAAGTATAGTTTAATTTATAGACTTGGATATTTAGCCATTACGCGGAGATAATTTCAACTTACCAATTAGATCACGACACGTGGCAAAATGCATGGACACGTGTCTCTATGGTTAGAGATATTAGGTTTTTGATAATCACTTGGATTACTTTAAATATGATGAAAATAAAAAATATCCACTTGATAATGACTTAGTTTATTCATGTGTCACTCTTTTACTCGAGATCACATACTCAGTAAGTACTCACACATCCGGTTCGTAACAAAGTCCTAGATCATAAACATTTTGTAGACTAGCTTAGATATGCTAGTCCGGGCAATCTTCTAAACACATCGTCTCGAACTTGAGCGTACAACCCGAACCAAGGACGCTATTCCTCTTTAAAATTTACATTTATACACTTTTGTCATCCCAATTTGAGAACTATACAAAGAGGCCTTTTATGTACCAAACTTTATGGTAATTAATTTCCTAACCTATATTTGTTTCAATAAGAATTGGAAATGAAAAAAAAAACTTGTGAAAAACATAAAGAATAAAAGAAAAGTTCTCTGTAAAATTACTGCCATCTTTTACCATGTCCCGTTAGAGATTTAAGACCTGTAACAAAGCATCAGCTTAATTGATGTTAATTAAGTTTAAAGATATATAAATAAGAATTACATTATGCCCAGAAACAAAAAAAACCCCTAAATTAGCATAAGAATCTATTTCTTCTCGTTCTTAATCTTTGTTAATCATTTAAAATGTTCTTTGGAGCTCGGATACTTATCCCGAGACCTCGTTTGATAATCATTTTGGTTCTAGAAGAATATTGAAGTAAACGAAAAGAAGAACATGAAGGATCATGGAGAAAACTACTATCATTTTATGTCATTTATTTCACAGCTATGAGAAAAAGTAGAATGAAAATAATGAAACTATTCTTTCCTCTAAACTAAGAGGAAGCTTATTTTCATTTGCTAAACAAAAAGAAGGGCTAATAACTTAATGGAAAGTAATAGAAATATTGAACTTTTACATACTTGGTGCTGAGTATGACCTTGAATGCTCCTTGGATCCTGGCGGTGTAGTTGAAGCAGTTTGCGACTGTTTTTGCGAGATCCTAGTATGAGTAGTGGTAGATCTGGCCCTGCAAAACATGGAGTTGGGGTTTTCAAGAAATAAACAAAGGACAAAATCGTTATCAAACAGACCGTGAGCTAAAACTTTCGTCAAATGAAATGGCTCACGTTTCTATCTCTCTAACACTTAAGAAACTTTTGTAAGAAATGAATCTGTAATAGCCTAAGTCCGTCAATCGCTAACAGATATTGTCCGTTTTTGCCCATTACGTATCGTTGTTAGTCTTACGGTTTTAAAACGCGTTTGCTAAGAAGAGGTCTCCACACCATTATAAGGAATGTTTTGTTCTCCTCTCCAACCGATGTGGGATCTCACAATCCACCCTCTTGGGGCCCTAGCGTCCTCGCTGGCACACTGCCCGATGTCTGACTTTGATACCACTGTAACAATCCAAGTTCACCGCTAGCAGATATTGTCTGCTTTAGCTCGTTACGTATTGTCGTCAACCTCACTGTTTTAAAATACATCTTCTATGGAGAGAGTCTAGCCCTACACTGACCAATGTCTCGTACCGTCTGGTGACTGGCTTTGATACCATTTGTAACAGCCGAAACCCACTGCTAACAAATATTGTCCACTTTGGCCCGTTACATATCGCTGTCAGTCTCACGATTTTCAAACACGTCTGCTAGGGAGAGGTTTCCACACCATTATAAATAATGTTTCGTTCTCCTCTCCAACCAAAAAGTGAGATCTCACAGAACCACTCTTAAATCACTCTTAATGGTTAAGTTCTTGAAAGACAAAACAACTTACTTTTCCAACTTCTTTACTGGTCTTGTGTGTTGAGTGAGCTTCGGTCTTTCTGTAGTTGCATCATTTTCTGTTTCAACAGAAAGAGCATCATCAGGTATGTCCATTAGACTTTCTTCATAATCTGCATCAGGAAATCCTAATGTTTCAGCACCTTCAATAATATTCTGACCTATGTCTAGTGGCCGAATAACTTCACTATGATTCCTCACATCATCCATCAAATGCTGCGAGTCGGCTTCCGAGCGCACGTCAAACAGCTCCTCCTGTGCTCCTCCTGAGCTCTTTCCACCTGAAGGCTTCTGAGTTGTTGCAACTCCGCCGAACACGTCTTTGTTCATAGAAGTCGTGCTGCGCTTCTCTGTGTTGCTACTGTTGTACACATTGTTCTTGAAGTCTTTGAGAACTTGTAGCCTCTCAATCTCATCATCCCTTTTGCTGATAGTGTCTTTCAGAGATGCCACCTTTAACAGGAATACAGTTTTGAATTTTGTTGTAAATGATTCCAATGTAAATCGAGATGAGACATGTTCACCTGGGTCATTAGCTCTCTAACATCCCTTCCTTCCTTGCTGCTCCGAGCTGCTCCTAGCTCGATTCCCGAAACTCTCTCCGCAAACTTTAGTGTGCTCAAAGATTCAGAATATGAGTTCACATCAGGATTAAGTTGTATAAACATGACCGTCTTTGCTTCACCACCTGCAGCGTAGAATCCAAATTTGTACTTATCTATAAGTTTTGTTGGCAAAATGAGTATCACATCCATGCAAATGAACAAATTAAACTAATGTTAATACCAAGAGAGCTTTGAAGGACTTGGGTGAGCTTGCTATTTCTATATGGAACATGAGAGCTCTTTTGTGCTAGAGCAAAAATGACATCTCCAAGTGCAGACAATGATTTGTTTATGTGTTGTGCTTCTTTGAGTCTATCTCCTGTAACTTCAGAGCGATCGACCCGCTCACTTCCAGCAAGATCTACCAAATGAAGATTACCATGCAATGAGGAACCACCGTTCAAATCCGCCCCACGAACGTGAATAGTCACAATACTGTAGGTTTGCATGAAAGATAAGAGAGGAATAATATAGAGATGAACATTTGAGAGTATAACAAAACATACTAACCTATGTGACCGACTACTTCTTTCGTTCATGGCCGTGGCGCCAACTGCTCTGTTTCTCAGTCCAATGTCCATTAGTTCTATAACATCTGAGGTTGAGTTCACTGGAAGCAGGGTAGCATCAGGTACCGCAAGTCCAAATGGTTGGGAATGAGTCAAAATCCCCAGTGTGTGAGAATTAAGATAAACAAGGGATAAAAGAAGTTGGAATATATCATAAAAAATCAGTGGTTCAAGCCAAATACTTTAAGAAAAATGACTTGCAATTTGGTGATAAGAGTACAATGCATAGTTCAAAAGGATATTTCTTCTGGGAAGCATTGCTTGAAAGTAAATCCCTGACTTGTTCATTATAAATTTCAACCATTTGCGCCCCAACTTCATAGGCAATGGCACCACTTCTATTTTGAGAGATCTCGAAAAGGTCGTTGAGCGCACGATAGTTAACTCCCCAGTTCTCCTTAGTAGCATTATTAGGACCGGTCTTAAAGGAAACAATGCGACATATCTCATCAGCGCGAGCTCAAAAGAAACTGTCCGTATCATTGAAACATGTAAAGGAAGCATACCATTGTATATGTCTTTCCGGAGCCAGTTTGGCCATAGGCGAATATGCATACATTATATCCATCAAGTACAGATCGTATCAAAGGTTGGATATCAGAAAAGACCTCGCCTGCATTTAATGAAGACAACACAACAATGAATAACTGCAAAGATGCTTGAAAGCTATGAAGACATCTGTAACGGCTCAAGCCCACTACTAGTAGATATTGTCCGCTTTGGAGAAGCCTAGAAGGGAAAGTTCAAAGAGGACAATATCTGCTAGTTGTCGGCTTGGGCTGTTACAACATCCTACATATACAAGACTATACGATAAAATGAAAAGAAAGAGACCTTGAGTTGAAGCTGGGCTGTACACCTTGTTAAACTTAAATAACTTTTGACCTTCTTTCCCAGGCTTGGTGGGGTTTGCTATTACCACTTCTCCATTTTCACCAATATATTCTATGGTCATCCGTTTGTCTTTATGCCCGGTCAAAAACGGCCTTATTCGACAAAACACTCTGATGTTTCCTGATGGAAGGGAAAAGATTAAGTGATACAAAAAGCAAAAAAAAGAAATGGTGGTGGAATTCAATACAAGAGTTCCACCTTTTAAATCCTGTAGCTCATTGAACAATTTTCTATTTTCAACCAGCAATCCATGATAGTTTCCAGCTGCATGTGCTACTGATTTGAGTTTGAGCCCTGGAGAAGGTAGAATTCATCATAAGAACTCATTATTTTAAACATAATATAGTTCTAAACTTCCTCACAATCATCACTACCTAATTGGTTGACATCGTTCGAGTAGTCCAGCTTCACTCTCAAAACCTCTTCTTTAACAGACTCTGAGGAGCATCTAACATCCTAAAAGTGGTTCATAAAACATTTTCATTAGTCATAATATCTCTCAAAAGAACTAAAATATGAAAAGTTTATTTCATCACACCTGCAGTAGATTACATTGAAATTCTACCATACGCCTGTAGCTGTTTGATTTTGCATTCCATTTATTTTGCTTTGATTCAATACTTGTTGTAAGTTTTTGCACTTCGTTACTTGAATCTTCCAAGAGAACTTCAAGTTCTTTAATCCTTTCCTCAAACATTGATTGAGCAGATTTTCCTTCTGTTTCCACTTGCAAGCAACGCAGTTCATACGTCTTTGTAGCTGTTTCCAATGCTTGCTTTAGCATTGCTATCTCTGCTTTACATTCATCTCTTTCTTTAATCAACTTAGTCACATCCTCATCTTTTTCCGTTTCTAATTGCAAGCAACGCAATTCAAACATCTTTTTAGCTGTTTCCAATTCTTGCTCCAGTGTTATGATCTTTACTTTGCTTTCATCTCCTTCTTTAATCAATTTAGTCATACCCACATCATTTTCTGCTTCCACTTGTAAGCGATGCAATTCATAAGTGTTCTTAGCCTTTTCCAACTCTTGCGTCAAGTTCATAATCTCTGCTTTACTGTCATCTCTTTCTTCAATTAACCTACTCACATCCTCCCCTTTTTCTGCTTCCACTTGCAAGCGGTGCAATTCATAAGTGTTCTTAGCTTTTTCCAATTCTTTCTTCAACATTGTGATTTCGGTTTTGCTTTCATCTCTTTCTTTAATCAACTTACTCACATCCTCCCCTTTTTCTGTTTCTACTTGCAAGCATTGCAATTCATACATTTCTTTAGTTCTTTCCAAATCTTGTTTCAACTTTGTGATTTTTTCTCTACCTTCATCTCTTTCTTTAATCACTCTAGCCATATCCTCATCTGTTTCCGTTTTTACTTGCAAAGAACGTAATTCATTTGTTTTCTTAGCTATTTCCAATTCTTGATTCAACATCATGATCCCTACTTTGCTTTCGTCTCTTTCTTCAATCAACCTACTCATATCCTCACCATTTTCCATTTCCACTTGCAAGCAACGCAATTCATATGTTTTCTTAGTTGTTTCCATCTCTTGCTTCAAGAGTATGATCTCTGCTTTAAATTCATCTCTTTCTTTAATCAACCTAGTCATGTCCTCATTGGAAAAATTCTTCTTTTCTTCTGTTTTTGTCTTCTCAAGTTGCTGCAATTTCAAAAGCTTTCGGCCAGTGAGTGTTTCCTCAAGTACAAAACGCTCATAAAAGAATCTGGTATGTTGTTTAAGTAGGAATGCACGCAATACTTAGCAGCAAAAGCCAGATATAAATAAGAAACTATGTATTTTCAATATGGTCAAGAGGCAAACTTTTGTTTGTTAAAGTTAGCTAGGAACACGCTGAAGAAAAATAAAACACCAGGAGACGATGTGAAAATTATGATATTACCTGATTTTCTTCATTAATGTTTGATGCAAGTGCTTCAAGCACTCTTATTCGAGACTGGAATTTCTCTTCACGAGCCTTGAAAAGATTGTTTTGCTGGATAAACCGAATCATGACATAGAATTTCAAAGCATAATTCAAATGGAAAAACAATCACTTAAAAGTAGTTATGAGATTACAGTTCGAAGATGTTCCGCTTGAGTAGAAATACGGCGCTCGATTTCTTGAACGACTTTTCTTAACAGGCATGCCACACGCTATCCAAAAAACAAAAGTAATGTAGGGAGTGAGTATTTAAGAAAAAAACTATGACCAACAAATATGCAAACAGCTAAGTTCTTACGCATACAATACAATTTATATTATAAAGTAATTACATGGCCATACATGAGGAAGTTCACCATTCTTTTTCTCCACACTTTCATCAAGAATTCCATTCACCACACTCAAAAGTGACTGCGTTGGAGCATTCTGCATTAAGAGATGCTGAAGTGCATCAAAGTTAAATAAACAATATATGTCACTGAAAGACTATACACAAACTGAATCATATATGAAGCTTATTAGACAAAAAAACAAGGGGTGGGATGGTGGAGGGATCAGAAGAACTCACGTCTAGACTATTTGATTTCATCATTTCTGAAATTTTTGCAGCCGGAAGATCAGCATAACGACCTTGCTTTAATTGAAACACTTCGTGGAACTTATGGCCAACTTGATGATTTGATCCACCGAATGGATCTGTTGTTTGAAAAAATTGTTTATTAGACCAAAGTGCCTGTACTTTTGAATTTCAAGGTTTCCAAATAATAAACAAATAAAATCCATGTTGAGCTGAATTCTTCGTTTGGAGGCCAACAGAAATCTTCTACATTTATATAGTTGATGTTTGTCAAAATCAAACCTGACATAACAGGACTACTCAGTGTGCGATGAAATTTCGACTCAGATAAGACTTTCCTCCTTTCTTCTCCAGACATGGGAGAAAATGGCTCATGTAAGGATGCGTCAACACGATTGTTTTCCGACTTAGTAGGTGAGCTGCATGCCAAAGGTCTATCTCTATCTCCCAGGTTGTTAGTCCATGCTCTAATTGACCATAAACAATTGTAAAGAGAGTCCATAGATCCCTGAAATTTAATAACACCTAAGAATGAGAGTGAGAACAAGAAGATATATATAGATATATATGAGAGTATTTTCTTAATAAGAACACATTACATCTTCAATGTCGGCGTTGTCAAGCTTCAGTATCCCCATGTCGGCTACAGCTTCAAGGAACCTCTTGATCTTGTCCGACCGTGAAGCCAAATTATGGATAACATAACCTCCCTAGTGTAAGAAAACTGATACTCATAACAGTGAACAGTATGATATGACAAAAGGACTTGAAAGGAACCAAAACTAGCTGGACAATACCTCTTTTGCAGGACCAGGCTTTTTTAGCTTGTTCAGAATTTGGGACAAGACATTAGCATCCAATAAGCATGCTTTGAGGTCCTCATCAGAAGCATTAATTGGCAAGTTTAGACCAGGGAAAATACTCCTCAACCACCCAGCCAATATCAGTATCTGCTTGGCTGCAGGAGAATGTTGTAAGAGAATTGAATGTTTGCTTTTGGTTTATGAGCAGACATGCAAATGATAATTGTTGGCGAAAACCTCACCATTCCTGTCTACAGATGGTCTTCTATTAACAGCTATATTTGAGAGTGTGAGTCCAGCATAATCTCTGTTGTTTTTCTCTGAAGGTGAATTCATGGTTGAAAACTGCTGGGCAGTGGCATCAAGCATATAGCTTATCCACTCATTTACAAGAATAATATGCTCCTATAGCAGGAAAGGGAATATTACGACGGTGTAGAAAAATTTTGTGTCTTCTTCCATTGAACAAAGAGCTAAGAAATGAACCATGAAAAAAAGAAAAGACCATAACTATATAATGCATATATTTGAGCTCAGCCGAATTGTGCTTCTACATCATCCTATCATCAACCTGTTAGAAATTACAAACCTCCACAATGGTATAATATTGTCCACTTTGAGCACAAGCTCTTATGGCTTTACTTTTGGTTCCTCAAAAGACCTCATATCAATGGAGATTTATTCCTTACTTATAAACCCATGATCATCCCCTTAATTAGCCAACGTGGGACTCCCTGCCAACAATCCTCAACAATCCTTCCCTCGAACAAAGTACACCATAGAGCCTCACTTGAGACATATAGAGCCCTCGAACAACCTCCCTTAATCGAGGCTCAACTCCTTCTCTAGAGACCTCAAACAAAATACATAATTTGTTCTCGACACTTGAGTCACTTTTGACTACACCTCCGAGGCTCACAATTTTTTTGTTCGACATTTGAGGATTCTATTGATATAGCTAAGTTAAGGACATGGCTTTGACTATATAATGCATATAGTTGAGCTTAAACGTAAACTTAATCCAAATGAATTGTGATTCTACATCATCCTACCATCAACCCCACAACCTAAATGTGGGTGTGACATGTTTGCAGATGACAGAATAGATTAAAAAAAAAGGCGATACAGCAACACAGCATCATTTCTTTAAGGCAACACATCAAAATTCTTCAATATACACTCCATGTTTTAAACATTACATCACAGATAGAAGTCAGGGATTTGAAGACAGAGCATCGTTTCTGAGTTTTATCAAACACCATAAAACGAAAAGAAATACAAAGTCAGAGATTCTAAGCCATAATATCAAACACTTGTCCAATCTGGTTGAGATTACAGAGACATTCAAACTTCATAAATATCAAAAACAAAACCATAACTCAAGCAAGAAGAAAACAAAATCCAAAACAAAACTACAAAACGCTACCTGTTTTCTGAGCCAATGAAGCAGGCAATCGACAATAGAACATGAGAAATCTTCTGGAAACCTTACAGAACGAAACGGATGTAGGACAACGCCAACAGACGATTTCCATGTGCCTTATCTAAGAGAACGAAAACGGCAATCGAATAAAGAAATTTAAAAAAAAAAAAAGGCGAAAAGGTCAGATTGATGCCATGAACTTTCCTCGAACGTTAACGAGGTCAAGATCGTGTTCGTGAAAAAAAAATGAGATCAAAAGAGAGAGAGAGAGAAAGAGAAGAAGAGAGAGCGTTGATTAAAGAAATTACTCGATATTTGAATGGTGGATGTTTTCTTTGGCGGTTGATCGTCCATGGAAGACGAAGAGGATTGCGAATGTTCCATGAAAGTAGGAGAGTAAGCTCCATTGTTCTCTTTCATCGATGGATTATTGTACATTGGCGCGGGTAGACTACACCTCGCAATATTGCTGGTTTTTAACTGCCTGACTTGTTCTTCTCTGTACACCGTTTGGTTGAGAGAGAATTTCATATGCTTTGAATCAACAAGAACACCATCATATTATTATATCAAATCTTCATGTTTTTCTTGCAACTTCACAATAAATTTATCTCATTTGATCTTTATTTCCTCTTCAACTTTCTATACATTTTGTTTTTATATTATTATTTTTTATTTCTAATCAAATATCATTTATTTCGTCTAAAAAAATTATTTAAATCTACATTTTTACTCGTAGCGGTGAGGTTCGAATTGATTTTTTAATTATATAATTTATATACGTCAATCTTAATATTTAAAATTAAATAATATTATTTTATAAATATTTTACGACTAAATTGTGAAAATTATAAAATAATTAAAAAAATATTAAGATTTAAATCATGCATATATGATATTGTTCATAAGCTCTCCAATTTTGACCATTTTATTTGTTATATTTATTTTAAAAAAAATATTGGATGTTCTTTTTTACTATTAATTTTTTATTTTTTATTTGGTCGGGGATTTGAACGTTTAATAATATATTTAATAAGTATTAAGGTGTTAATAAAAATTATTATGTTATTAAATATTATGGTCAATGAATAAGCGTTTGACTTGAACATGAGTATGCATGACCTTTTCTTTTTTAAATAAAAAAATTAAATGTTAAAATTGAGAGATAATTTATTAATGTTAAATTGGTAAATAAAATATTTTAATTCCATCCATAATTATGAAATTCTAACACTATTTTAATTCCCCAAGAATTGAATTGGTTATGGGCCAATCTAGACCTTTTCAAATTTTCTAAAAATTTAATTCCATTAAATAATACCGAGTATCAATAACTGTCTGATTCAGAATCTGCATTTGACGTTTATGGTCTCGACATGTCACGTTATTTACTCGTTTTCTAAGAGTGAGGACTATCTTCATAGACCCACACGAGTCATTCCACACATGTTCTAGTTCTTACTCACATGCTTCACTGGGAAGAGGATATCACCCAACATAGAATTGTTTCGGGAAAAACATGCTTAACCATGTAGTTCCTATGATTGAGCTACCGAAAAAATGAAAAATGAGGGTGCACCTTGATGGTATAGGTAGTGTAACAGCCAAACCCACCGCTAGCAAATATTGTCCGTTTTGACCCTTTACATATCGACATTAGCCTCATGATTTTTAAAACGTGTATACTATGGAGAGGGTCTAGCCTACTCCAGCTTCGTTTAATGACTAACTTTGATACTATTTATAAAAGCTAAGTCCGCTGTTTAGAGACGGTAAAAGTCTAATTCTTGAAAATAAGATAAAATATACCAAACATACAGTAAGACAATAAATAAAATATATTATAAATTAAGGAAAAAAATCTAAAGGATTAAATTTATATAAAATATATTCAAATTTTATAGAAACCCTAGCTTTCTTATAAACCCTAGTTTTCCTTCCACTCTCTTCACTTTCATACTAAGTTCGTCTCTCCATCAACTGTGCCAATTTATTGTCCAACACCTCATATCTTTTCACTCCTTCAACTTTCCCCCCTTTTCCCTATCAATGGCGGAGCGAGGCGGATTTGGACGAGGCTTCGGCGGCAGAGGTCGCGGTGGAGGTGACCGCGGCCGCGGAGGTCGCCGTCGCGCTGGTCGACGTGATGAAGAGGAGAAGTGGGTTCCTGTCACTAAGCTAGGGCGCCTCGTAAAAGAAGGTAAGATCCAGTCCTTGGAGCAGATTTATCTCCATTCTCTCCCCATAAAGGAGCACCAGATCATTGATACCCTCATTGGCCCTAGCCTAAAGGACGAGGTTATGAAGATTATGCCAGTCCAGAAGCAGACCCGTGCCGGACAGAGAACTCGTTTCAAGGCTTTCGTCGTTGTCGGCGATGGTAATGGCCATGTGGGTTTGGGAGTAAAGTGTAGTAAGGAAGTTGCCACAGCGATTCGCGGTTCCATTATTTTGGCTAAGTTGTCTGTGATCCCTGTGAGAAGAGGGTATTGGGGTAACAAGATTGGTAAGCCTCACACAGTGCCGTGTAAGGTTACTGGAAAGTGTGGATCCGTCACTGTCCAGATGGTTCCAGCGCCACGAGGTGCTGGGATTGTGGCGGCTCGAGTTCCCAAGAAGGTCTTGCAGTTCGCTGGGATCGAGGACGTGTTTACATCTTCTAGGGGATCGACTAAAACTCTCGGCAACTTTGTTAAGGTTTGGTCTAACTTAAATGGTTACTATATTCTCATAACTTCAGATTTTGGCTTTGTTCTACTAAAAATACGTTGATTTCGACTTTTGGTGCGCTTCATCATTATGAACACTAACAATTAGATGGCTATGTTTTGCTATAGTGTGTGCTGTTTTCGACCTTAAAATTTTGCAGCCTAACTGAAATGTTTCTGTGGGCTTGCATTATTAAGCTACGTTGCATTCTTTGTTACATTTTTGTGTCCTGCATCAAGATGACTGCAATTTTATGTCTGATATATCTCTTTTTTGTGTTGTTAGTCATTGATTAAGGTACTATTCAATCCTTAATCAGTTGATGATGGGTTCTAGATTGGTTGTTTGATTTCAATTTCAGTAGGGGTCGTTTGAAGCTCTTTATGCAGTAATGTTGTCCGATTGTGTATATGTTGTGTCATTGTTGGTTGCTCATAACAGTGGAATTCCACACTACATAAGAGATTGTTTCGTGGGTTGGGTGTGAGATCGAGGGGAACTAATCATTCTTATAAAAGTGTGGGAACCTCAACCTAGTAGACGTGTTTTAGAAAATTGTGAGGCTGACGATGATACGTAACAAGCCTAAGTGGACAATATCTACTAGCGGTGAGCTTGAGTGGTTATAAATGGCATCAAAGCTAAACATCGGGCAGTGTGCTAGCAAGGACGCTGGACCTCTATGGGAGTGGATTGTGAGATCCCCATTGGTTGGAGAGGCATTACTTAGAATGGTGTGGAAATCTCTCCTTAACAAATACGTTTTATAATTGTGAGGCTGCAGGCGATACGTAATGGACCAAAATGGATTTGTAGCTATTTTCTTGTCGTTAATGAGAGTTTTGTTGTTTATCAAGTGGTATTTGATTTCAATGGGGTCTTATTTCTTCGACCTTTATTGGCATTTCAGGCAACCTTCGACTGTCTGCTGAAAACTTACGGCTTCTTAACACCTGAATTTTGGAGGGAAACACGTTTCACAAAATCCCCATTCCAGGAGCACACAGATCTATTGGCGAAGCCTACCGTGAAGGCATTGTTGTTGGAAGATCCTGATAAGGTTTCTGCTTAAACTTACTCAATTTCTTCTTTCAATTCTGGGAGTATATCACTGGTTTACTTGAATGAGAAAGGCTCCACACTCTTTGTTCCCCTGGTTGAGATCTGTTACTTAGAAGGACAATTTTTTCGTGTTATGCTTTTTCTTTTTCACCAAATTTGAATTTTTACTGTAATTTATTTACCCTTTTTAGTTTCATGCATTTCATTTTGTTGCCCATATTCATTTTTGTAATTGATTAGATTCGTAGACGTTCCTACGAAGAAACAATGATGGTACTTGAACTTGGCTTATCGAGCATGTTGATCCAACCAAACAAGTTGGTAATTCAACCTAAACCATATAGATTGAAATTGATTAATCCATTTGTTTGGATTATTTAGGATCTAGATCTCTTTGACATAGTAGCTTTTGTGCATTTTCTTCCTCCAAAAACTATTCATATAGATCATTTTTTGTACATTTAATAATATTTATTGTGTTACTCGAGTAGAGTACTTGTAGCATCCACTTTTATTCCATAATTTTAACGATGTTACAACCCTTGGGAACTCTTATAGTTTACGAAAGATGACTTAAGCCCCATATTGTGGTTGAATAGTGATCTTTAATCTCGAGCATGAGAATACGTTGAATGGTTATGTTTACGTAAGTTCAAATGAGAATTGCTACAAAATCATGGATTGCGATATTTTTGCTTCAATCACTGCAAAGTATCATACTTATTTCATTTGTTAACCAATCTCACTACAACTCTTGGAGAACGCTCGAAACGTACTTTGCAAAAAAATGCCTTCCTGTTCAGGCCTGCTATGTACAGGATAGGCCATTTCCCGTTCATGCCTTCTGCAGGCCTTTGATGATAGGTGTTACTAAGAACGATCATGGAGCTCTCTGTGTTAGCTTCGATGGTGAAGAAGGAGCAGAGAGATGTAATTGGGAATGCAATGAATTGATGGAATCAGAGATGGGTAATGGGCTGTGAAGCCGTGAGAGTGCTCTAGTCTTGGCCGCACCCAATATTTCCCCTCCCTTGACAAAGTGTAAATCATAAATAGCAATTCGACACGTGTAAATCATCAAGCCGCGAGTGTTCTAGTCTTGGTCGCACCCAATATTTCCCCCTCCCTTAACAACGAAGTCATCCGTTTGATTTTCCGTCTTTAGTACCCTTCAGAAATCTTGAAGAACCTTTCCCAAGCTCTCTCCAATGGCGGCTCTGGGGCATCTGCCTGAAGAAGTGATGATCGAGATTCTCTCCAGGCTTCCGCTGGAGTCTCTGCTTCGATTCAAGACCGTTCGAAAATCCTGGTATGCTCTAATCAACGACCCTAATTTCGCAACCAAATGTTTCTGCAATTCTCTTCATCAGCAGAAACACATTCTTCTCAAGCGTCTTGTTACGAAGAACTCTGGCAATCAGCAAAATGTCTTCTCCTTCCTCAAATTTCCCCTTCCCTTCGATGGATCTGTACCGGTTTACGATCTCGATTTGCCATTCGATGAGGATTTTCGATATTTCGAAATCCGTGGCCATTCTCACGGTTTACTCTGCCTCACTGATCTTCGTAAGGACATTTTCCTCTGCAATCCAGCCACCAGAGAGTTTCAAAAACTACCGCGGTCGATTCTCCTCACTGAACCCCTGGATGAGTTCATCCGCATCACTTCGTTCACCAATGCAGTCGGATTCGGGTACGATTCGAAATCTAGGGATTTTAAAGTGGTTAGGGTTGTGGATTTTGTGGAACTGCCTTGCTATTTTCACCCTTCTAGAGTGGAAGTTTATGATTTGAGTAAAGATAAATGGAGAGAAATTCAGACCCCTGATAGATGGAGTGGAATTCAAACCCCAGTATGTGGCAAAGTATTCGGGACGCCTTGCTTTGAGATGTATCACGAAGGAACATATTATTGGTGGGCAAATGCAAAGATAGAAGGAAGGACAGAAACTATACAATCATTTGACATGAGCGAGGAGGTTTTCAGGCCAATTCCGATGCCAAAGAGTCTCAAGGGGAAGCGTGAAGCGTATAGAAGTATGGGGGTTTTGAACGGATCGATTGTTCTATTTCATTATCCATGGAGTGGAAATGGAAGAGAGTTCGATGTCTGGGGGATGGAGAATGATGAATCTGGTGGGGTTTCATGGTCAAAGCTGCTCACAATTGGGCCCCTTTATGGAATTGAGAAGCCATTGGTGTTTGTGGGTTCTCATGAACTCTTAATGGAAGCCAATGAAGGTCAGGTGATTTTGTACAATACTCGAACCCAACAATTCATAAAGGTTCCTATAAAAGGGCACGAAAGGTTCCATGCTACTGTTTTTGTTGAAAGTTTGGTGTCTGTGAAAGGAGGAAATAACTTGACATATGAATTTTGAATCCATGTTTTTGCTTTTACGAAGAATCATCTCCATTTGAATCCAGCTTTAGGTTAGATTTTGCACAGAATCACTACTTCCTTGTATATCCCTATCTCTAGGGTGATTGATAGTAAAGTTAGATTGCTATGGCTTTTAGACAAGCAAATCGAGTTACACCCATCCTTTTCTTGACTGATTGGAAAGACGGGTAGTCGGGTAGTCTGATATGCATTATTGTACTGTGATGTTGAATTTTAGGTGGCCAACTTATTTCAATTATAGATAGATACACAGGTCCTTTATATGGGGTGACACCATCCTTGTGCAGGTGAACGATAGGGCCAACTTATTTCAATTATAGATAGATAGCACAAATTCTTTATATGGGGTGACACCATCCTTGTGCAGCACGTAACAATCTCTGTCAATAGGACTTGGGCATTCGATGTTGTTTTACAACGAAGAACAGGATTTTTATTTATTCTTGTCGATGCACGTAACAATCTTTGTCAATAGGACTTGGGCGTTTGATGCTATTTTACAACGAAGAACAGAATATATTTATTCTTGTCGATGCACGTAACAATCTCTGTCAATAGGACTTAGGCGTTTGATGCTGTTTTACAACAAAGAACAGAATATTTTTTTATTTATAGATGTTCGGAGGTAGGCTAAACTTGATTTTTGAGCAAATCCCATATTTGTTCCATTCACGACCCTAAAACCATTCGAGATTTGGCCAACTAAGTTAAAGATAGTTTTCTAAATACGAAATTTGAAATCCGAACCTAATGAACCCGGTTTTAATTTGAACTAAAACAAAGGTAACAAAAAAACAAATGTAACACATGTATGTTTGAGTTTTAGCTTATCAATATTAGTTAGACCTTAATAGAGCAGTATGTTAGTTGAAAAATTAAATAATTAGATTACCATAAAAAAGAAAAATCAAATTTAATCATGGGCATATTGTAAATTTTTTAGTTCTATAAAATTTTAGTTATCAATTTAATATGTTTGGTGGATTTTTCAAAAATAATAATAAAAAAAACTCGACTACCTAACCAAAAAATAAAGAGTTGGGTTAGGTTGGATCGTGAACTTTATTAAGCTTGTTAGATGAAAATCCCACATCGGCTAATTTAGGGAATGATCGTTTCTAATCAAGGAATATTATCTCCATCGCGGTGAGGCCTTTTGGGGAAGCCCAAGCAAAGCCAGCTCAAAGGGGACAATATCATACAATTATGGAAAGTCGTGTTCATTTAACATGGTGTCAGAGTCATGCCCTAAACTAGGCAGGTAAATAGAATCCTCAAATGTCAAACAAAGGACTCCAAAAGAAAAAAGGAGTTGAGCCTCGATTAAGAGGAGGTGTCGGGATGAAAACCATGCCCTAAACTTAGCTATGTAAATAGAATCCTCAAATGGTGAACAAAGGACTCAAAAGGTGTTGGATGAAAGTCCCACGTCGACCAATTTAGGAAATGATGATGGATTGACCTTTTGGGGAGCCCTAAGCCATGAGAGACGTAAAAATAGATAATATGATACCATTGTAATGAGAGCCGTAAAAATAGATAATATCATACCATTGTAATGAGAGCCGTAAAAATAGATAATATCATACCATTGTAATGAGAGCCGTAAAAATAGATAATATCATACCATTGTAGAGAGTCGTGTTCATTTAACACAGGTTACTAATTTCACCGACCCAATCAACCGAAATTAGGTTCAATTAGGTTAGGAGGATGAAATGGTAAATTTGAATATTATAAGGACGAAAGTGAAAATAAAGGATTTGAGAAGAGTGGAGTTTTGTATGAGGGAGTGAGAGTCCCTTCCCACCAAACTTGAACGCAGAGTTGTTAGAATCGAAGCTGAAGAAATCCGCAACATGCTTGTCGGCAACCACTGCTTTCACAGTACAACGCACAGAGAATTTGAATTTCCATTGCAGACTCTCCTCTGCTCTGCAACAATCACAATCCCACACCAACACGTTCTTCCAAGAAGAAGAAGAAGAAGAAACCCCATTTCGTGGGATCTCCACGGAAGCCATTGGAGACCCTTCTGATAATCCTTGAACAACAGTGTACTGTGTGGCTGTGTTCTTGATTTCTCGGATCCAATGTTGGTTCAGGAGCGTTCAACGTCTGAATCCCCCAAAACCCAGATCAGAACTCTGCCTACTCTCCACTCGTATCGTTTCTCCAAGTCGAAAAGCCTTGATTTCTCCACATGGCTATCTGAAAATCTCTATAAAGTAGTCACGATTTTACTCCTGATTGTCACCGTTGCCGCCCTCTTTTTCCTCCGCAATGTCGGGGATACCGCCGCCCTTCTCTGCTTCCAATCGCAGACGGCGGCGTTGGAGAAGATTCAATTCCCTAAAATCGATTGGAATTCGATCGCGTCGATCCCAGCTAAGTCTTCTCTGTATCCGGAATTTCGCTCCGAGCAATGGATCGTCGTTTCGGTGTCTAATTATCCCAGTGATTCACTACGGAAGCTTGTGAAAATGAAGGGTTGGCAGGTGTTGGCGATCGGAAATTCTCTGACGCCGTCGGATTGGGCTCTTAAAGGTGCGATTTATCTCTCCTTAGAAGAACAGTCTAATTTAGGGTTTCGTGTGGTCGAATTTCTTCCGTATGATTCTTTCGTGAGGAAAACGATTGGGTATCTCTTCGCAATTCAACATGGCGCGAAGAAGATCTTCGATGTGGATGATCGAGGGGAGGTGATTGATGGAGATCTAGGCAAACATTTCGATATAGAATTGGTGGGAGAGGGAGCGAGGCAGGAGATCATATTACAGTATAGCCATGAAAATCCCAATAGAACTGTTGTTAATCCCTATATTCATTTTGGGCAAAGATCAGTGTGGCCTAGGGGCTTGCCACTGGAAAATGTTGGTGAAATTGCTCATGAAGAATTTTACACTGAAATTTTTGGGGGAAAGCAGTTCATTCAACAGGGAATTTCCAATGGCCTTCCTGATGTTGATTCAGTATTTTACTTCACTAGAAAATCTGGATTGGAAGCTTTTGATATTAGATTCGATGAACGTGCTCCAAAACTGGCATTGCCTCAGGGTATGATGGTTCCTATCAACTCCTTCAATACACTTTATCACACTTCAGCCTTCTGGGCTTTAATGCTTCCTGTCTCCATTAGCACAATGGCTTCTGATATCTTGAGAGGATATTGGGGCCAGAGGCTCTTGTGGGAAATTGGTGGCTATGTTGTAGTGTATCCACCAACCGTTCACCGATACGACAAGATTGAAGCATACCCGTTTTCGGAAGAAAGAGATTTACATGTGAACGTGGGTCGTTTGGTCAAGTTTTTGAATTCATGGAGATCGAGTAAGCATAGGCTGTTTGAGAAGATTTTGGAGTTGAGCTTTGTAATGGCAGAGGAAGGGTTTTGGACTGAGAAGGACGTGAAGTTTACAGCAGCTTGGCTACAAGATTTAATCGCTGCTGGGTACCAGCAGCCGAGGCTAATGTCTCTGGAGTTGGATCGTCCACGAGTGACTATTGGTGATGGGGATCGGAAGGAGTTTATTCCACAGAAATTACCATCCATACACCTAGGTGTTGAGGAAACTGAGACAGTGACTAATGAGATAGGGAACTTGATAAGATGGAGGAAGTTTTTTGGAAATGTTGTGCTTATCTTGTTTTGTAATGGCCCTGTTGAACGAACCGCCCTGGAATGGAGGTTGCTATATGGGAGGATATTCAAGACGGTCATAATTCTTTCAGAGACCAAGAATTCAGATCTTGTAGTGGAAGAAGGCAGATTGGACCATGCATACAAGTAAGTCACTTTTTCAAGAACATGATGAACAAGTTTGTGTGAGTTTTTGATGCCTAAGTAAATAGTAATTTGGTAGATAGACAAGATTTTGAGTTCTCTTCTCTGTGTATTGTTTTCTGCCTAGAATGTAAATGATTAGTGTTCTACGAAAATGGTAACATGGGAAGTTCACTAAATCTTAGCTCGGCCTTCCGAGTTCAGAAAGAGGGTTATAGTTTGCGTTCGATTTTGGGATGACCAAAGAATTGCTCTTAGTTCATTGAAAAAGTGGCCGAAAGCTTTGTTTTACCTGGTTATGTCATTCGGTATCACGATTGGAGCTGTCAAAATCACATGTTCTTCTAACTATGTTGTTAAACATGTCTTTTTTAGGTACCTTCCCAAAGTTTTCGACACGTATAGTGGCGCAGAAGGGTTTTTATTCCTGCAAGACGATACAATTCTTAACTACTGGAATCTACTACAGGCGGACAAATCGAAACTGTGGATAACAGACAAGGTACCGTTTGAGCTAGATTCAGCTGAATTATTGTGTTTTAGCCTGTGGTTCTTTATTTGCATTTAACACACAAACCAATGTTTAACTGCTTGAATACTTGTTGATCCTTGTGGGAATTGGCTGATTACAAATCTGAAACTTTTTATAAAGCTTGATCTCTAGAATCTCATTATGTTAATGAAATCAGGTGCCCAAATCTTGGACTACTGTGTCAGCTGAAAGCTCTGATTGGTTTACGAAACAATCAAACATGGTAAAGAAGATAGTTAGCATGATGCCTGTTCATTTCCAGGTGAGTCATAAGCAGTCAGTAGAGAGTGAGAAGAGCGTCACGATATGCAGTTCCGAGGTCTTTTACGTTCCTCGGCGCTTCGTAGCAGACTTTCTTGACCTTCATGGTTTAGTGGGTGATTTAGAAATCCATCACAAGGTTGCAATCCCCTTGTTCTTTACGGCTATGGATTCGGTTCAGAACTTCGATCCAGTACTGAATACAATGAGCTACAGAGAGAAACCAGCAGCTACAAATTCATCAACTATTTACTCTGTTCATGTGCCTGCTGTTCATCCGTGGAATGTATCAAATGAACAGGATTTCATTAAGTTGGTGAGAATCATGGCAGAAGGTGACCCACTTCTAGCAGAGTTAGTTTGAGGGGTAGACGTTGATACCATGGGAGTTGGGGGAAACCTTGCATACCAAGCAAACTGTTATACCAAACTGATAATTTTTGTTCTCTTTTTGGTTCAGAGTGAAGGAAAATACATATCATTTGCTTCCCCTTCCCCACCACTTTTTGTAGAGTTTTGTGTGTTCTTGATAGGTCTGTTCTGTA